TATGTGGGGACATGTGTTGTGTGGTTTGCGCGCTATGTGGGGACACGTGCTGTGTGGTTTGCGCGCTATGTGTGGACACGTGTTGTGTTCTCTGCGCGCTATGTGGGGACACGTGTTGTGTGGTTTGCGCGCTATGTGGGGACACATGTTGTGTGCTCTGCGCGCTATGTGGGGACACGTGTTGTGTGCTCTGCGTGCTATGTGGGGACACGTGTTGTGTGCTCTGCGTGCTATGTGGGGACACGTGTTGTGTGCTCTGCGTGCTATGTGTGGACACGTGTTGTGTGCTCTGCGCGCTACGTCGGTGGAAAGTGGCAATCTTTTCACTGCTGTGTTGATGTAATATTTTTAGTTTTCGTCGATTTTTTTCGGAGTTCGCAACTGCATAAGGTCATATGAGCGCCAAGGGGTGGATGTCAACAGAGAAGTCCTTACAGGGAATTGCATGTCAATTTTTCAGACACCCCCCAACCCCCCACCCTCTGAGCTGACGTCATTTGCGCCCGGTCCCTAATCGTCATTGTGAGCAGCGTTAACACTTACCAAAAAAACATAAACAAAAAATAAGCAGGGAAAAAAAACAGCCGAGCTCCGAGGGGAAAAAAAACTGAGTCAATGGGGCAGTCAAATAAACTATTTTCACATAACCCTAACCAATTCTCTCACCTGAAACTGCTGACTCTGCATGATGTTGGTGATATCCTTGAGCAGGGGAAAGTACTCCAGATCCATGATATCCATTTCATATATCCGCGTCCGCCCCTCTCTCCCGCGCCTGTTCCTTTCAACAAATGGCACACCCTTTTTCTCAATGAACACGATCAAGTTTACATCCAGCTTGAGGATCTGAAATTTAAAAGAGACAGAAGAAGGAGGAGGAGGAGGAGGAGAAAAAAACCCACAAAAAAAAACGAGGAGGAGGAGGAGGAGGAGGAGGAGGAGGAGGAGGAGGAGGAGGAGGAGGAGGAGGAGGAGGAGGAGGAGATGAAGAAGAAGAAAAAGAAGAGGGAGGAGGAGAAAGAGGAGGAGGAGGAGGAAGAGGAGGAGGAGGAGACTGAGGAGACAGAGGAGGAGGAGGAGGAGGAGGAGGAGGAGGAGGAGGAGGAGGAGGAGGAGGAGGAGGAGGAGGAGGAGGAGGAGAAGAAGAAGAAGAAGAAGAAGAAGAAGAAGAAGAAGAAGAAGAAGAAGAAGAAGAAGAAGAAGAAGAAGAAGAAGAAGAAGAAGAAGAATCCCAAGGACGGTGAGAGAAGATCCGGTACCTGCAGCAAGTATCCGAGATAATCATTGTACGTCCTCCAACTGGTCATCCATCTGCCCCGGCCAATGTCAAAGAGCCCTGTGACAACTGTGAAACTGTAGTTTCCTGACGGAAGAAAAGGAGGATGGAGAGAGACAAGGACAGGCAGGTGGTTTGGGGGGGGGGGGGGAATCTTTATGTTGTAAAGTAAAGCAATCAGGGAGTAACATTATAAGTACCCACTTTCAGTATTCCATAACGAGTACTGTAACGGTCAGTTTATCGGTTTTGTTGAGAGCAAGAAAAGATCTGTTTTTTTTTGGTGTTTTTTTTGTTGTAGATACTGCAAGTTTTGAGTTGATTGTGAGGTTGCAGGGGGTCTTCCATGGGGCGATCTGTTGAATGTCAACGCTGAGATGGTAATAGATCTGTCTATCCTCTATAGTGTGCTCAAATTTGAACGTTCTGTGTCAAGCAGTTGTTTAGACCCGATCATAAATGCATGACTACCCCCCTATCCAAAGCAGCTTCGCACGGAGGCCGGCCATTTTCCCCTCACTCTCATGGCAAATGTATGTGACCTACAAATCTCCGCATGACTATTCCGGGCCCGTTCATTGGTCACTTGAAATAGGGCAATGGCGGGCGCGCGCATTCGGTTGTTTTTCTCTCTATTCCCCTGTAACATCGCTATGGGGGTATTCCGAGGCGAGGTTATCTCGTCTCGGGGTGTTCGCGTCTCAACGGAGAAAAAGAATGTTTATTTGTACGGCATGCTAGATTGAATTAACTTATCTTTTACAGTTGGCATGGTCTAAAGTCATCATAAAAAGCTTTGCAATTATTTAGTCACGCTGCCGACATATATTCTTAAAGATCCCATGTTGTGATACGATGTTATAAATAAAATGGACTCATCCCGACACCCCTTTTTCGCAAAATCGTAATATGTACACCAAAATTTTAATTATAACAAAATAACTACGAAATTGGTAGTAAATCTGACTGCAGAAATGATTTCTACACTCAAAAACACATCGGGTAGCCAAGTTTCTCTCGAACACTCCAACTAGTTACCGAGATATCGTCGATTTTCTAACAGAATCTGCTACTGCGTGGTCCACTTTTAAGGAGTATTTTCCTATTGTGGGTCATCCATATTTTGCCGACCTTTACAACCCCATAACTTTTTTATTTATGAACCGATTCTCAAAATTCAAGAAGCATAATTCTTAGAATTGAAAATTCTTTCTTAGGTACTAAAAAAAAGGGCTAAAGTGAAAATGTAAATTTTCAATGGCATTGCTAGCTAATTTGTAGAGTTGCTTGGAAGTTTTTTTTGTTTTTTTAAAATACATTAGAGATTAAAAATGCAGCACAGGTGGGGGGGGGGGGGGGGGGGGGGAGATCTAGATATCTAGATCTAATCCTCCTGCGTCTTTACAGCAATTTTCGTGTGGTCTTCCATCATGTCCAAGTAGGCCTCTAGATCTAGAATCTAGATCGAATCTAGATCTAGAAAATCTGAAATGTTACCGAAAACACGTCGTTCCATGTGGGTATCCCAGGAAGTGATGACATCACAGTACTAAAATTAGCAGGCAATCAGAAAAATGCGTCTTTTCTACGTTTAACGGCATGTCTCCACGACCTTCTTAAAATAGTCTGTGGGTATTCCAGGAAGTGATGACATCACATTACTAAAATTAGCAGCCAATCAGGAAGATGCGTAGTTCTACGTTTAATGGCATGTCTTGAATTTAGACTTGAAGTTAATAAAAAAAAAGGAAAATTATTGAAAATAAGTCAAGAGGTTTGGGAGACTAGATTCTAGATCGGTGATCTTATACTTTAGCGCGTTAAATTCCCAAAGTCTACTAATCCCCGACTAAGACCTTCAAAACTTTGAACTGGGCCTAAAAATGAGCAAACTACCGTAATTTTGTCATGAACAGATGGTATAACAGTGGTTTTCGGTCTTCCATCATGATTTTGGAAGCCATTGAGTATAAAATCTTGATTAGATAGATCTTGTTTTAACTCTTTGACTACCATGGGCCGATCTATCGGCTCCATAACCACGTAGTTCGTGGCCAAAAGCCGAATTATCGGCTCGCGCTTTTCTTTCCCTTTCCCTTCCACAATTTGACTCAACCTTTTCGTTTCATGTTTTTAACTGCTGTGCTTACCATACATCAGTCAACCAGTGAAGGAATTTAGCGCCTTTAGTGTTTTTTTCTGCTGTTTTTTGGGCATTTTTTCTTGTTTTTTTTACCCGCCCTATGTTGCTCGAATTAATTTACACGCATAGCAACGGAAAAATGGCTGATAACCCATCAGGTTCCCCCCCGTCACAACGTTTTTCTGCTTCAAAAGCCCTGGAAAAGTTTGATGGGGAACTGTCAGTACTTTCCGATAGTGATGTAGGAGGTGATGAAGTTAGACCTGAGTCGGACAGCAGCGACAGCGATGAGATTGAAGATTCGCAAAGAGGGGCTTGTGTGCAGCGTTTTTTTCTTTTTTTCATTGTGAGTGATTTCACCAAAAATGCGACAACTTTGTATATACTTGACCATTGTGCATGAAACTTGGCCCAGTTAGAGACAATTGGATATACTTCAGTATGACTAAGTCATGAAGTGATTGGATTTAGCAGCTATACACTGTGAGAAATGTAAGTTGGAAATATTTTTTTTATTTTTTTATTTTTTTC